GAACCCACGACCTCTCCCATGCTTACAGGAAAATCCACCACTCCTCGAATTTAGCTCTAGGATAATACGGTGCATGCACTGGTCCAGCCGCCTCGCCCTTCTGCAGATTCTCGCGATCCAATTTTATCACCAGAGTTCCAACGTCACCCTCAACAATCTCATTCTCATCAACAACCTCAACCTTAGTCTGTAAGCAATACCAAACTTAGTTAAAAACGCTCGCCCTCGTAATCGATTTGCAACTAACCTCAATTTTCATCCTCGTCACATGTTGGACAAACGCCTCGACATCAGCAAGCTCCTGTTCGTTCATGTCGGCACAACCTAAGCACAGAGTTAGAGACCAGTGTTGGAAAATATGCACATGGTCGTCCACATGGGTTGGTGACAATATGAAAATTTTGAGGAAATTTCGGGAGATCCTTGTTGGTTCTCGTACGTTTTTACCCGAATTCGCATAGAAATTTCCATACAAGTGAGGAAATTTCAGAGCTCAGTTGAGGAAAGCCTTCATATTTTCCAACACTGTTAGAGACAATGAGGATGTGGATTCACCCAGCAGGGGGATTCCTCTTATCATACGGATGATAAACGTTTGATCAGCATGCAACTGAACTCTATTCAATATCGAGCTGCGTACCGAGCAACTTATAGGTAGAGCGGATGACAGATTAGATGATATACAATCGAATACAGTCCTACCCTTTCGGTCCTTCCCAGTTTTATCAGAGTTAAGGAAGTCCTTGAAAGCGGTAGCAGTGTTAGGCTTGTTCTTAGTAGCATGTCGGGCCTAAAAATTGAAATAAAATCCATCAAGAACATACCGAGGTTCGATCCCGGGTCTCCACTGTGAGAAACTAACATCATAACCGCGCCGCCAATCTCCCACACTACCCTTTCTCCATCAAAATAAGGCACCTGGTACATTGCATTGCATCGTTGATCAAGTGCCTGCACCAGACAGCGCAGCAACTCCACCATACTCATACAAGTCGGCCTGAGGTTCAACGAAATGCACCAACCAGGAATCGAACCCGGGACCTCAAACCTACAACCACTCCCTCATCGCCGAGATCTCTACCATTGCTTGGACCACCGGCACCAGCCGAACCACCAGAGTGTCAGTGATGGCTCTGAAAACAAACAACTATACTCAGCGAGGAGGACTTCTTCATATTCCCACAAGAAATACATTTCACAAGGGAGCGACGACCTACTTGTGCGAGAAGCGAAGCTCGTATAATTCTGCGCAGGTTCGATCCTCAGCGCCGACTTTTCTCTAACATTTTCGTACATCTCAAATAATCACATCTCATTCACTTCAGAATAAACACTCTCGCATCTCGGAACCTCAACTGACTTTATCGAAAGTTCACCAAATGACGGTATTAGCTCCACTTAAAACAATCACTACTACTCCAACGCTAAGACATATTCTGCTCGTATTCAAACCATCCTCACATATCGATCACGTAATCGATTTCACTATCAACAGTCATCGCGAAGAATAACTCAGCCTTCTCCGCATTACCTCAGTCGGGAGCTCATAAGAGTATGTAGCCTCTGCATGTGGGCCTCGATGAGAATCCTATTGCGCCTGATAACCCCTGGACGATCGAAGTGGGGCTTCCTTGGTTCTTGGACCGCGCCAATCTACAGCGAGTGATGCATGTATTGCATTAAAAACTACCCTACTGGTATAACGTTATAATTGCATACCGATTTCGAGGCTGTAAATTCAACCTGGAGAGAATATTGGGGTTTCACCCGTTTCGAGTGAAGTGTCGTAAAACTCGGAGAAAAACGCGATATTTGCGCTCTTCAATAGTCGCGAAATATGCCCCTCACTAGTGTTTTTCAAATCACTAGGGTGAAACTCCACTGAAACATTTAGGCGTTATTGATATTTCCGCGTTGCTTCCGCAGAGATAAAATTCCTTCTATTTTCCACAGAAAACAATTTTTCTATCAAAATCGCAAAATGACAGTCCTTGTACGATCAGCGCGAAAGTCACCAACAATAAAAATTATATTCCTTGTGGAGGTAGGACCCCCCCGAGTTGAGGCCTGTAATATATAGTAGTTGTATCGCTACTATCCCTCATCTATCGACCCGTACTCTCCGTGGGGTTTGGTTGTTCTACTGCTCGTTGAGGCTGATGTTGATAATAAAAATTCAACACATTGGTAGTCGTATAATCTACCATCACTAACGTGATAAATTCTATGCATAAAGCCGACCCATTTCTGCTGGACCCACCAGTGGTTTCATTTCCGCGTCATCATTCAAGTCGCTGTCCAACGTACGAGACTCCGCAGCACACGATAGAAGTTCAGGACCTGATCAGCAATTTCGTGGCGCGCGGTAATTTTAAGTACTACCATTCTTCACTCGCGTCGCCTCAGTAAGGTAATACCCCATGAACTGTAGCGTCTCCACCATAACTCCATTGGGGGCGTATCTACACCAGGTCCCGGGTTCGAATCCCAGCGACGACATTTTTATTACAATTTCTGCCGCTGATAGTAGTAGATGAATCCCGCAGGGATGACGAAGAGAAGCAGTAAGAAAAAAATGATCAAAACGACGACTTGGTTTTGCTGCTCCAATAAGAAGGATGGCAGACCAACACCAATCTGATAGAAAAACAGGAAAATCACCAACACCCCAATAGACCAGTAAAAGCTGCTCTGTCCTACAGTGTGAACAACAACCAAACCGTTATTATGCAAAGTAATATTTTCAACACCTTCAATTTCCGAGAGTTCGAAAGTCAACTTCGAGTAATATCAACATGATAACAATGTGAATCGATTGACACCAACGTTTTAGAAGCGTTCCGTAGTCTATATTCGTATTACTCTCGAATTGAAGAAAGCCATCCCGAAAATCTAGATATGCATAACTGCTTCGCACTGTGAAGATGTACATTCTTTCATGTCTCATCTCGCAATACAATAGCACAGGGAAAAGCGGCAAATACGATATATGATACACCCAGCATTCGGGTTTCAACACCACCCAGGTTCGATCCCCAGGCCCTCCCCTTTACCTTCATCGTCTGCGGTCCATCAGGATTGCCGTACTTCTCATAATTAGCCTTGGCGACCTCATCCGTGAGCGACTGATAAGCCTTCGAGATTTGAATGAACTTGGCATTTGCCAAAGGATCTCCTTGGTTCCGATCGGGATGGTAACTGTAGCAGAGAAAGTAGATTCAATACAGCAAACACTTTGTAAAAAAGGAGTGGTATTAAATCAAAAGTAATGTCAATACAGACTGAGATAGCAAACACTTTGTAAAAAAGGAGTGGTATTAAATCAAAAGTAATGTCAATACAGACTGAGATAGCAAACACTTTGAGGAAAGGGAGTGGTATTAAATCACAAGTAATTTAAATACAGACTGAGATAGCAAACACTTTGTAGAAAAGGAGTGGTATTAAATCACAAGTAATGTCAATACAGACCGAGTTAGCAAACACTTCAAGGGAAGGGAGTGGTATTAAATCACAAGTAACATCGATACAGGCTGATGCAGCAAACACTTTGAGGAAAAGGAGTGGTATTACATCACAAGCAACACCGATATAGGCTGATGCAGCAAACACTTTGTGGAAAAGGAGTGGTATTAAATCACAAGCAACACCGATATAGGCTGATGCAGCAAACACTTTAAGGGAAAGGAGTGGTGTTAAATCACAAGTAACATCGATACAGGCTGACGTAGCAAACACTTTGAGGAAAAGGAGTGGTATTACATCAATGATTGCTTTCGATAAGCCTTCTTAATCTGAGCATCTGTGGCGCCAATTTCAATGCCGAGAATCGAAAAAGGATCAAATGACTTCACTTCAACTTCCTGACAAGAAAAGAGTCTTCCACCAATGGAGTTTTATTGTAGCAAAATTATTCACGGGAAAAATATGAGATATTGGTAAATGCCGGCAAAAACATTGGAGAGGTATTCATCATTTAAAGCATTATTATTGGAGTTTCACCATAGTGATATGAAAAACACTACTGAAAATATTATTTCACAACTACCACATGTCGCGAATTACGCCACTTCACGTAAAACGGGAGAATCTTTCCCCACTGTTTCCCCACTTTCACCACACTCAACCTCAAGATACTTACCGAGTTCATACAGTGTACTGCGGTGAGCCCTAGCAGATACCACAATGAGCACAGCACAACCGCGCGAATCCAAAAACCCTTCGAGAAGCGCTTCGACCTGAAAGATACCCAAACTGCGCACGCGGAAGATTTTGTCCAAATTCACAGATCAATTCCAATCGACCTCCCATTGTGATCGAAATTTTTTCCTAGACTAAGACTCCAATTTTTGAGTCCTTTTCTCTCTAACATACTCCTCAGATAAAAAAGGCGCCCCTAAGGGAACAATAAAAGAGATAAACGTCTTCATTAAGATCGATATGACAAGAACAAAGTCTATTTTATCATAATAGACTTGGTTATATAATAATAGTAAATAATGATAGTATAATAATTATAATATTTCAATTCATATGCTCGTTATCATTATATACACGCACAGGTGGCAGAAACCGCCAGAGGACCATCCACGGATCGAACTCGGGTCATAAGGAAGACGACCATGAATTCCACCACTACACCAATAAAGCCACAATCCACTCATCGACGATTCTTTCAACCTCGAGACACTTATACAATTCTCTGCTCCCAGGACCTACCATCTCTTCTCCTCGGCTTTACACTCATCCACCTTCTCAACCATAGTAGACGACTTACAGTATCTAAGGGTCGACCATTAAAGATTCAAAATAGGTCCGGAACAGGCCTTACTTGAGCTTAGAACCCTTCTCGCTGAACAACGGCCACTGCTCGTCATGAACCTTATGCTCGGGCCATATCAAACTGTAGATGATGCTGTAGGTCCACGGCACCTAACGGACCTCATCCGTATCTTCCACAGAGTAACCTAAGATATTTCCCGACATTACCACAACGCAGCATAAAACCGCTCCAGCGAAGAAAAAAAAGGCCGAGTCATCGTAGGCCAGCGTTCCCTCCTTATGCTCGTCCTTGGTGAACGTATCACGGAAAGAGGACATTTCCGATCAAAAAAAAGATCACCAGACTGATAAAAACGCTGCGTAGAGATCAAGCTGTATAACTATAAGCTCCCATCGAAGCTCCGGTCGTATTAGCCTCTGGAGAAGAGTTGTCACTCGAAAAGGGTATATATTCTCTTATTGAGATCCTCACTGCGTCATCGCCTTCGCCGTCGAGGTGCAGGGGCTTGAAGGATACTTTAGTTGGTATCAAATTCCGAGTCGATTCTGACTACTCCAACCTAGTGTGGGAAAACATGCACAAGGTCAACCACATATGTTGGTGACAATATTAAAATTCTGAGAAAATTTCTGGAAATTCTGGTTGATTCATGTACAATTCTACCCTACTTTGTATATAAACTCCTATAATCAGTGAGAAAACTCCCAGGCTCAGCTGAGAACCGACCACATATTACAACACTACTTCAATGAGCTCGCACATATAAACTTCATGTAAGTTCTACTACATAAAACTCTCACAGTAGTAGATTTTCGATCTCGAAAATGGGAATCAGGTTTACGTTCCCCTACAGCTACCTATACCATTGGAAACTCTAAAGTTCAAAAAATTTCGCCACCAAGGGGAGGAAATTCACCAAAAAAGTTCATTCAGAGAACGCATAATTTCACGAGTAAAAATCCATCCCAAAATCGATATCGATTTCCACAGCTTTCTCACTGACCTCCAAGGGAGCACACTTCTCCACAGTAGAGGCCCCAAGGCGCTTAGAAAGCGCCTATGCATCAAATCACGGCTTGAGATTAGTATTAATAGTTGGAGAGGAAGTTGCACGAAAAACTTTCATGCAATTAGGTCAAATAATACCATGACGCGGACCCCCCGAGTTGAGGCCTGTAATATATAGTAGTTGTATCGCTACTAGCCCTCATCTATCGACCCGTACTCTCCGTGGGGTTTGGTTGTTCTACTGGTTGTTGAGGCTGATGTTGATAATAAAAATTCAACACATGGGTAGTCGTATAATCTACCATCACTAACGTGAATAATTTCAATATGGAAATTCTGAGGAAATTCTCATTGGTTTCTCTACACTTCTACCCGAATTCGTATATAGACTCCTATAACTAGTGAGGAAACTCTTGAGCTCAGCAGCTGAGGAAAGCGAACATATATTCCTACTCCAGCACTGTATAGGAAACTCCTGAGCTCAGCA